CATGCTTCTAACCCCATAAATTCAAATGGCTGCTAAAAGTGCATATAATTATGGCCTGTTAGAGGTCACCACCCTGGACTTTCACTCATAAGTGAGTGAGATGGGAAGGAAGCATCTGGACTTTAATCATTCATCCCTGTAGAAGAATCCTGCCTAGACCATCTCCACTAAGAGTTCATTCCTAAGGATTTCACTTTCTAACTTTTCAGAACTGCCTTCTTCCTGTCACTTTCTATGCCCTGATTGTCAGTCTTCCTGAAAGTTCTGTAAAGCCAAGCCTACCATTAAGGTCCTTTCCATTCAGTGAACAGACTGTTTCCATTGCTGAAACAGAAAAAATGCCTGACTGATACTCCAGCCCTATCCACTAGCCAGCTGTGTGTGATCCAGAGTTAACCGTTCATCACAAAATGATGGGCTATCCCTAAAGTATTTCTCATTCTGAACAACGTATTATGACTTTGATCACTTACAGAAGTGATCAAAGAAGTGATCTTTCTACAGAGTAGTCTTAAATGAACATCAAAGCCTGGATTCCGATTTTAGCAGTAGGGGCAAAATATAAAAGCTCCATTAGGGAAAGACCATGTAAGCACTGGAAGCTGCTGGAGCATTCCTTAGACAACTAAGCCCTCATAGATACTGACCAAAAACCCACTCGCTACTGGGTGTGATGCTTGTATTAGCAAACAGGCATTATTTGAATTTTCTTATCATAATTTTGAGGGCCCACTTATAATCCTATGGTTTCAGCTATTCTTGATTGTAAAACTTCTTCATTTCACCACTGTAAAACATATTTTTAGGGAGCATTTGTTTTTCCCCTTGAAATCCTTCCTGCAGCGCATGTGTGCACACACATGCATGCAAACACACACGCGCGCGCACACACACACACACACACACACACACACACACACACACACACACACACACACACCTGCCTTAGGAAACTTCAACATAAAGGGGAGCAGTCTCTGCAAACTCGTAGTCCACATCTTCAAGGAAAAATTATTTTGTTAGAGTAGCAAGGTGGCCTCACTTTGGCCTTCTGTTCTAACAGAAGCTCATTGTTTAGCTGCTTTTAATAATCCATGAAACATTTCTATTAACTTCAGTGTGTGAATTTTGTGGCTGCAGAATGGGTAAGAAAAAGCAGGAACGAAAAAGATGCAGAAAATGAAAATAAGTACAATCTTAAATATTTGATAAAGGCCTCTATTTTTAGGTAACTAGTTACTGTATTGGGCTACCCAACACCAAAAGGAAGCCACAGAACAGCATTCTGAATTATTAAAATGACAAAGGGAGCCTTTTTTATTTTTACTATTTTAATTGAGAATGTGGCCCTCCAAACTAACCTTTATTTAAATATTTAACATAGACACTGGGTCAGATATAAACCAGCAAAATTTCTTCAATACTCAACCTGTAATTATGAATCAGATTGTATAATGCAACTCAGCTACTTCATTTTATCTTTCCTATATTGCAAAAACCCTTTCCAAGGCAAGAGGAATCCAATCTAGATTTCTCTGAAAGTCTTCATTCTAGAATACTTTTCTGTTGTGTATTTACTGATATTCTCCATTCATTTGATTTAATTTATTGTTATTCTTATATTCATTCAATACATATTTTTGAATACCTGTCAGGCACCAGGCACTATTCTAGGTGTGGATATGTCAGAAAATAAGATATATGGGTTCAGCCTCTTTGGATCTTTTACTTTACTGAGAGAAGCAGATTACAAAAATGACACATAATAAGTGCTCCGAAAAGGGTAGTATATGAGAGTTCCTCACTCATGGGTGTACATGTGTGTGTGTTTTCCAGGTAGTCTATTAGAAAGCTAATGACTTGAGCAAGTTACCTTAAGAGTGGTAAGAGTACATAGTGCAAGTGAGAACAGCAACACAATAGGTCAGGTATGCAAATAGGCCCAGTGTGTCCAAGAAGTGGCAGCAAAGCCAAGAAGACTAGAGGTGAGGGATGGTAAATCTTCAAAGGGCTTGGCAGAGCAGGACTCATGAGGGTCTAGAAGACCATGGGGTCATTTTGAGATTTTTATGCTTCTTGGGGTGGAAGCCACTGGAGTCTTTGAGCAGTGGAGTGTTGTGAACTGATCTGAGTTTTTGCAAACATCCCTTTAGCTCAATGGCAAGTGTGGCTAATGGAAGCTTTTTAAGGGAGCCTTGCTTCTATGGCTGTAAAGAAAGATCTGGCACCAGCATTGTCCACTCATTAGTTGAAAGAAAGTACCCACCTTGTGAAGTACTTGTAATGATTTAAAAGTTCGGTCTCTTTTGTCATTTTAAAAGTTTATCAGTCTCCTTTTTCACTTTTATCTTTATCCAATGTATCAACCAGTTTCCCCACCCCTAAGACATAGTACTCAACCACTACAACTAAGAGGAGAAGTTGAATTTGCTCACAGTTTCCATCAATGACCCACTTAGTCCAAGGCAAAAGTAACATGACAGAAGGATATGTTGGAGCTTACTTAGCTTATGGTGGCTAGGAAGCAGCACAAGGGAATAAGGCCAGAGAGGAAAGAGCGAAGGAGCCAATGTAGATCCCAAGGCCAAGCCCCCATGACCTCTCCACCCGGTACATCTATAAGTGTGATCCCCCGATTCCCAGGGTGGATCCTAAAGACAATCCAGTTGAAACTCCACCCTAGCTATCTCACCCAGCCAATGCTTATTCTTTCTTGAAAGCTCAGAAGTCAAGGTTAAAATTGGTTCTTCTAAACACACAGGCTGACCCAGCCTATAATCCTGTCACGGCCCTGTAGAAAGCCAATTTTCAAGGATGTTCTCAGAACACAGCCCCAAATCATGATTATCAGCTAGGTATGCCCCCATAGCTGCCCACAGCATCCCATTTCATCAAAATGAGGTCTGAGAGGAAGACTGCACATGGCATTGTATCATAGCTTGACCTCCTTTTGGTAACCACATTTTTATGCCTGGAAATAATTTCTTAAGTCTTTAAAAACATGAACTAATCTTTTAGTTTTATTTTATTTTGCACTTGAAGATCTGCCTCCTGCAGACATTCCTTGGACAGCGTAATTGCAAAGCATGTTGTTTACATTGCTTTGTGGAGTATTCCCCCAAGATTCAGCTCTAATCATCTATTACAGTAGCTGGCTTTCCAAAGCCTTCTTCATAAGGTTGCCTGACATCTTTACTTCTCTGTCAGTGTTCCCTGGCCTCCCAAACACTGGACTACTTATCTTGGTGTCCGCTTCTGAGACTCAAACAGTCACATCTTCTATGTAAAATCCTCTTCTTTTCTAAGGTGACATCACCTGGCCACCTTCCTTCAGGACAGAGATATTAAAGCTACTAATAAAGTAGAGGTCCAAAAATACTAGCACCTTTACACTATGATCCAGTAGCCACCTGTGATCAAAGCAAAGGACATGACCTGCATCTAAATGTTTCTCCTTCTAAAAATTGGGGGCTAGCTTCTCAGCCACTACTTAGCCTTCACAGAAATTAAAGCTTGGCTGTTTTGTGAGGTTCTCTCCCACTATAAGTAGGCACTGCTTCTTGTCCAGGAAGCCAAGGCAAGATCTGTAGTCTTTATTAAGGCTAGACAGACTCCTAGTCTTTACTATCCTGGGAAGAAAGCTTCCTTTGCATGGTTCTGAATCAGAATAACTTGGCCTTTGATTGTAATCCAAGGGTTCTAAGCAACCTGTGGTGCCACATGTCACACACAAAGATCCTTAGAAATCCTTAAATTTTCCCATAAACTTCCCACTACACTGAGACACAGACCGCTTTCTCAACAATAAAAGAATATCCAAAGATAATTACTTTTTACCTTTAGATAATAAACTACTTAATCCTCCCTCAAACCCAGTGTGGGAGGAGGTTGTTACCTCCAGTTACAGGGAAAGGCAAAGAGATATGTTCAAGATCATCTTGTGGAGACACATTTTATACCCTAAACAGGGCAGTAAAGAGACAAAGGGAGTGGAATCTCCATGTTTAGTCTGAGTGGAGAAGTGCCCTTTGCCTGGGAAATTATTAGGGACTACCTATGTCCCTCCATGCTATATAGGAGGGACAAGTGCATGGGGCACCTTTAGTTTAGGGACACTGTGCCTGCCCAACCAGCCTCATGGGAGCACTGTCCCCATACTCAGGTAAGAACGTCACTGTGACAGGGCAAATATCCGGAAAATTAAATATACAGCAACCACAAAACCTTGATATCCTTTTTACACACTCAAGTTCATTTCATTAGAGAATCCGATGGGCAAGAGCTAGTGAATTTTGACCTTGAGGACCTGTCTTTGCATTGCCAGACAGTGCATGCTGGGAGTTATGATTACATTAGGAAAGCAAATTAGAGACCTAAATTACCTAAGACAAATCTCCAAAGCCCTAGGATTTCTTTGGGACTTCTTTCCTCATTCTAAGTAAATGTTACCCTCTAGCCATAATTCTGCATTCTCTTTCTACAACTGTCTCCCCTTCCCCCACCCACCACAATTGTAGAAGCGTCAGTCCCCAGAAAACCTTCATGCACTCCTGGTTTGAGGTCTCAGCCTCACCAGGACAGGGTATGAGAACAGAGGTGTAAATTTGTCAGGAGAAGGAAGTAGGGGCGCAGTAAGAGAGTAAATCCTCATCTAACATGGCAGAAAGTCAATAGATAAATCAAGAAATCGCTATGTAAGCTTATTTTTTAGCGACGAGTGGTGACCACCTGAGCTAAACTGACAAAAAGGCCTGTGGATGGGCCCAAAGAAGGGGGGCCTGTAAGTGCTTATGCATTATTTTGATTTTTTAAATTAAATCTTTAAGAAATAAGGTAAAATTAAATAAAAATAAGAAACAAATGAAATACAAAATATAGATAAAAAGCAAATGTGTACACCAGGAGAAAAGGTCCCGCCGGTTGGGACTCAAAGTGCAGGAGCGGAAGAGGTGGGGCCACTGGGCGGGGCTTGGCTAAGGGGCGGGGCGAGACTGGTCTTAGGACCTCCACGGCGAGGGGGCAGGGCTCAGAGCGGTTTCCTCAGACTCCGCCCCCAGCGGGGAGCCCGCGAAGCGCAAGGTCAAATTCGCCTTGGTCCCCACCCCCAGCTTGGGGGCGGAACGGACCAGGCCCGGCCCGGAAGCGACCCAGTGTACCGATACTCGTCTTGGTCTCTGTCTGGTCTTTGAGCTGAGGTGACAGCCCTGGTTTGGCCCAGCCGTCCCCAGAGATTCGCCCGCTGCCACTGCGGAGCCCCGTGAGGCTCAGGTAAGCGCCACGAAGTTCCCCGACTCGGCCGGTTTTGCCCGCCTGGGCGCCTGCGAGGACCTGGATTTGGGCTGGACGCCTGGGCCCACGTGACTCGCGTCCCTGTGTAGACCCAGGCGCCTGCTCTGGGCGACAGGTGGCGGCCCAGCCGCCTGAGAACAGCTCCGCCCCATCTCTACGTGCCTCCCTTTGTCGCTGAGGCAAGTGTCATCCTAACCTCCCTTACCCTGTGATTCCCACTTGCGCCTAATTAGACTTGGTTCGGATCCCACCTCCCCCAGCCTGCACTCAACTCTTAAAAATAACTATTCAACAAAAATCTTGAGCCACTCAGTGCTGCCACAAGGTCAAGTCCACATACAAAGGTGTGACAGCTGAAGCTGTCACCTTGGTGGTAGAAAACAGGGTGCTGGAGAGCTGTTATCAGGGCTACTGGTGCTAAAACTAGGATGTCAGTCAAAGAATTCCAGGGTGCGAACAACAGAGCAAGCACATTTTGTAGGGAGAGAAAGTGGCTTGTTTGGGGAAGAAGGGTCAGTAGGGCCTGCAGGGAGAGCTAGTACCCCGCCATCGACTTCCTCCTCTGGATGGTGGGACCGTGCCTGCCCACTCGCACAGCAGCCTTGAGCGAGGAGGACAGCACTGTTCCCGGGTGCAGCAAGGAAGCCAGGGAATGATGCTGTGCAAGGAGTTCTCCTGTTCCTGGACTGGCCTCAGTGTTCCTGCCTCTGAGTCCTCCCTTCCCCTCTTCTGAGCCCTTTCTCTGTCCAGTGAGGGGCTCCAACTAGTCTCTCAAACAGCCTGTTCTCTGAGGTGAGGACTGGATTAGTCCTTCATTCTGGAAACGTTTAACTGGCGTCCACTTTCCACTGTCCCAAGGATTCAGAGAGAACTCAGACACCAGCCCCCTGGCGCCAAGTGTGGTGGACCAGGGAGAATAAAGTGGCAGTTGCAGAGTGGTGGGACCAGAGCAAAGGGTCTGACCCTCTGACTTGGCTGGGAATGGTACCCTGCCAACTGCATGAGCCCCTCAGAACATCAGGCTGGTGCTGCCCTGAGAATCATTGTCTTCCTGCCCTTCACAGTGGGTGACTCTGGCCTCCTGTAGTCATCCTCTCAAGCTGGCAGAAGGCTCTCCAGAGGCAGCGAGTCTGCTGGTCTGAAGTTCCTTAGACCCTAAGACCCCATGGACTTGGGAGAGCACTTGGGGCTGCAGAAAACACCTGTCAGTCACAGGTGTATTTTATGGGCTCGAATGATCCCGCTGTCTGCTGTGGTTCTTTTCACGGTATTGGTGGAGACTCAGTATTTGCTCTATGCAATTAGCGGGGAGGGCCATTGGGGGGAACACAGCAGAGGGAGGAGTCTGGCGCCGTTTGTGGAGAGTAGTCAGATGTTAACCGAGGGTGTTGGAGGGAGCCAGGAGGGGAGCCTTGGTGCAGCCAGTTTCTCCTCTCAAACCATGGCAGTGTCCAACCACAGAGATAAGGGAAACTTGGTAGTCACAGACCTGATCGCCCAGCCTCTGAGTTGTAAGAATTTGGCAAGCTTAGCAGATACTTGACATGTAGTTGGCCCTGAAGAAATGTTAATTCTCCCTTCTGCTTCTTCTGAATAAACTAAAATAGGAATAAGAATGGTACCTACCTTAGAGATTATTATGGGGATTTTCATAAGTACCTAAAATACATACACTCATGCCTAACATGTAAGAATTAGTAATGCTGCTTCTGCTGCCTATTACTTATTTCAGGCAAATATTGATAACATAAGGAGATGAGGGGCCAGGGAACGGTGGAAGGATGTGAAGCACTGTGCAGGGTGATTAGTGGGAAAGTTGGATTATCAGTTGAAGTGGTTTTACTGGAAAGCCTCAGCCTCCGGATGAGAAGGCTGTTCTGCATGATAAAGGGCTTCTGGCAGCCACACTGTCAGAAGGCCCAGTAGTCTGAGTGTCTATGAAGACTCAATTCAGAAAGTAGCAAATGTTGGAAGAAGCAGTGACTAGGGTTGAAAGAAATCTAAAATTGTCTCTTTGGGGCTGTATCTTTAACCTACGGCAGGATACAGGCCCCCTGCAGGGGTCTGCCTCTCCCCTGAGAATGCAAATGAGTACGCCAGCTTCTGGCCCTCTCAATGGGCTAGGAGCAGTGAAACCCAGTTTCGTAACCCTTGCACCCAGCAGAGTACTATGCATAAAATACATGAACAGTAGAACAAATGAATAAATGAAAATAAATCAATTATAAATTTGCCACAGTATCAATGTGAATTTTAAAATTTTTTTTATGAAGACAGAGATAACTAATGCTTTTAAGCATTTGCCAAGGACCAGACATTTTCATGTATGTTGCAGTGTGGTAGTTGTCAGATATAATTGCCTGTGTGACCTCCCACACATCACAGAAGCTCTCTAAACTGAATTTTTGCATCTGTAAAATGGGACTCATTGTATCTATTGGATAAGGCTGTTTGGATCATTAAACAGGTAAGTATATGAAGCACTGACCTCAGCACACATTGTATAGTATGGAAAGTGCTCGGTGAATAGTAGCTCTCGTATTTTTATTATATTTGTTAGTCTTCTCCTTGCTCACCCCTGTCTGATGGATGCTAACGACCATAGGCACGATGGCCTGAGCTCACACTCACCTAAGGTTCTCTGAAGACACAAATCAGACAGCTCATGAGAAATGTGCTCAACTTCATGAACATTTCATTCATTACTTAAAGCACTTGACTATGTGAACTCTTAAAAGGAAAAAAAAATGCAAAATTATAATTTATGTGCCTTTCAAGTTCAGGTATTTTATCATCTAGATAAATCTTCCATGCATCTATGTTAAACCACTTCTGACTTCGAAGCTCTTAAATAAAATGGCTTGTCCTGACCAGGGTCTTTCTTTGCTCATTTATCATAGTTCTCTAGTAAAGATGGACCGGTCCCTGTGGGCTGGGCAGGCCTCAGGGCAGCAGTTCCTGCCCCATCTTCATCATGCAGTTCTGTGTGATGGTGTTTAACAAACTACAGTGGACTCCTGAAGCCCTCATCATTGTCTCTCACACACAAGACCTGTGTGTCTATTTACAGATTAGGAATAGCAAGGTATCCTATTGCTAGTGTGAACCTGGGAAATTAGCCCTGAAGAAATCTAAAGTTCTCTAAAGCAATGCGTTGTTGAGTGAAAGTGTTTTGCATGCAAAGAGACAGTGTCCTCTGGAAGTCAGAGCCGCCTTTCCATCCACTCAGGAGTGCTGTCTTTGCACATGGCCTCTTCTTACCCACTGAAGGCTTCTCCTGCATATCAGTGCCTTACGTCTGCCTCTGGCCACAGCTGCTCCTAAAGCTGCAATTCAAGGTAGCTGTAGAGCCCCTGCCTGTTCCATAAAGCCTTCCTAGGCCCTCTCCCTCCCCACCATGGCCTTCCCACCATTCCAGGGGCACCTCTGCTGCTTGACTCTCTCTAGCAGGACTGAACGCCTCCCCTGAGGACCACAAGTACTTCCATTGCTGGTACCCAGCACTGTGCCTGGCATTCCATCCTCTCTCTCTCTCTCTCTCTCTCTCTCTCTCTCTGACTTTTTCCTTCCCTTTATCCTCCTTCCTTCGACAGATACTTCAGGCACTGCCCTGGGGATTCAAATGGGAGTCAGAGTGACAGAGTCTCGATCCTCCTGGAGCCCACACATATCATGAGGCAGAAGCTCCTAATCATACAGCAACAGATCATACACTGAATTAATTGTCACCACAGAGGAACCTTCATGCCATGTGAGTGTGTAAAAGCGAGAGGCAGGTAGAGTTAATATCAGTATAGATATCGTGGACCCATAAATGTTGATTGCAGCTTTATATTCATTTATTCCTGTACCTTTAAAGGTTTTGTATGGCATTTCTTGCATAAATTCTGGTAAACTGTGTTCTATGCCATCAGAGTAATCTTACTGAGACTGTGTACTGTGAAAATGATTGTGCCTCTGCTTCCAAATAGGGGAATGGCTTTAATTCTCCAATTCTTTTGACTCTTTAGACTTTACAGAGCATCTCTTGGACACTGCGTCACTGGGTGCTCTGCTCATTAATGTCATCCATCTCATCCTGGGTGGCAGCAGCAGACAGGCATCCTGCTTGCCTGAAGGTGGATCTGGTGGGGTGAGGGCTGGAACCCTCTGCCTTCCCAGTGAAAGAGTTTACCTGTATCTCCTTGATTTCCCTGGATACCAGACTGAAGGTCCAGCATGGCGTTAGTCATGCGGTGGCCAGCGTCTGCAATGGGAGAGGAGAAAAGGACAAAGCTGGTGTCCAGAAGGGCAGGCTCACCAGTTTTCATGCAGCTGGGGCAGGTGAGCTGGGGGTGCACCTCACTAGGCAGAACCTAGCTATTGCAGCACGGTCCTTTGTGAGGAGCCAGCAGTTCTCCAGAGGATACCATGCCTGCCTTCAAGCCTGTTCAGTACTGCTGAGAACAGAGAGGCAGTGGTATATGACCTAAACATTCCCACCATGGAAACATTTTCCACCACACCTGGGTGTTATTCAAGCCACTTTATTCATCTGCCCAGAGCATTGACAAAATACACTTTCAGTCCACACCGGTTGTAGGTGTAGTGCATATTAGAAGACGTGAGCTTTCATCTTCCCAGGAGCAAAGGAAGGAGCAAGACTTGCACTTGCGTGGCCACACAGAGATGGAAAAGGCCTCCAAATTCTTCTGGAGGGGTGGATTCGACCTGCGAGACTAGACCAGTGGGGAAAGCTGTACTCAGCATTAATAAGTTCCTAATGGTGTGGTTACAGCCACGAAGCAAAGAAGCAGCTCTGGAAATCTCTCTTTCATAAAGGCTGACACATGGGGACAGTATTTATGCCTCTTGAAAGTGCATGTTAAGTGGTGGATATTTATGAAAAAGATTCCAAGGAGTAAATGTGTCCATCAGTCAACCTGGAATTCTTTTAGAGCTCCTAAGATGGTTTTAAATTAGAGCCAATCTTTTTCCTGCTTTCTGCCTCCATCAGTCCCCCTCCCTTGCTTCCTCTTATAGAAATGAAATGTTAGAGCAGGACCAAGCCCAAGCGGGAGGTGGGACTGCCTCGCAGAAGGGAGTCAGCATATTAGAGGCAGGCCTCTGGGGCTTAGTGCCTTGACTTTAGTCCCTCCCTGTGTTACACTGCTCTGAGGGTGGCAGAATGTGGTGTTCATTCAGCCTGATTTCATCCTCGCCACAGCCATTAGCCAAGTAGTTTGCTTGGGGTGGAGGATGGTGAATGATAAAAATATGTATGCACACTAACCTGAATTTGGGGTCAGCAGATGGGGGAGAGTGAATGTCAGTGTCAGTAAGGGAATCACAGCAGGCAGAGAAAGAGAAGGCTTCGGAAGGCTGAAAGTTTCTCTGAGCAGGTGATCCTAAGGACAGAACGCTATTATGTGAATTCTTATGTAGGAGTCTTAACTGGAAATTATTATTGACTTTCAAATGTGCATTTTAAAGATCCAAAATATTCATTTACTGCACAGACCCTGTCCTTAGTATCAAAGCCTGCTTTGCTTTTAATTCCCCATCTGGCTTTCTTCTATGAAACATTTATGATGCCATTGGCCATTCTTGTATTTCTTTGTGAGAGAATGGATGATAGTGTCTGTTGCCCACTTTCTATTTTGTGTTATCAAAGGACATGGATGATAAAAGTAGAAGGGCTGCCTGTTTTAGGTGTCACTGAAATTATACTACTTCTTGGCTTCTCAGATTCCACTTTGGGTAAATAGTCTGAAAAATGGAAAGAGCCACTGTATAAAGTTACTTAAAACATTACTTATAATGGTGGAAACTTAGATGTGACCTGAATGCACACAAGAAAATACAAGCATATCAGATTGATGGAATATTATGTAGTGTTTAAAAAACGTGAAGGTTAGTAACATAGGAAACCTTTACACACACAGTGAGGAGGATGCCATTACATTAAAAATGTACTCAGGAAAACAGTCTGCAAGAAAACCCTCCAAAGGGACAAGAGTTGCATATGAACTGAGCAACTATGGATACTTTGTTTTGTTTTGTTTTGTTATTTCAAACTTTCTATATTGCTTTATTGTTTCTATAAATTTTTTTTAAAAATCTTAACATGAGCCAAGTTAAATAATGATCATTCTGCTGTTTGCTATTTTCAGGGCACCACATTTGTGGCCTTATTCTGAATTAAATCTTTTAATCAACAATATCTAAGGCAGGGTTGGCTCCTTGCCTCCATCTCTGTGGTACAGGGTCATATTCTGATCCCATGGCTGCTCACCCTGGTATGGGAGAAGGTGTGGGGAGGCTTTGCCACCTTTGGATTCCTCATTGATGAAGTTTCAGCACTTTGTACCTCCAGCACACACCACAAACATGTGCGCACACACACACACACACACACACACACACACTCATACCAAAAGGTCAACAATTGCCCAGGGCAACCCTGCATCCTTCTGTGTTCTTGTCCTGCAGGCTTTGGTACTCTTGTACCTCGGGAGCAGCCAGGTCAACCCTGCATCCTTCTGTGTTCTTGTCCTGCAGGCTTTGGTACTCTTGTACCTCGGGAGCAGGATACTGATATTTTACTGCCAATTCCTCCTGTGTCCATGTCTCCTTTTACTGTCTAAGGCTGGCTGAAGCCAAGGACCTGGCCAATGGTATGTCCTAAGTCAGCCTCATTCATTTGCCCAAACACTGGAAAGTCTTGACACATCCTTATTTGAGACAAGGTTTTGAATTAAAGTAGTTTATCTAGGAGGGGGTCTCAGGAAGCACCAGCAAGAAGTAGATGAATGAGCAAGGAGGTGTGCTATTAAGCTTCTTACTTACACGAGCATCTTCAAAACCGCCTCACCAGAATCATCTTCTCAGGGGCTGAGGACTGGGTATATACACATTCTTCCTGTCAGTCATTAGTTGAACATTCCTTAGGTGGAATTAGTTCTTGGCTCCTCTTGCAGGTTCCAGAAGCCAGGTAAAGCCTCAGGGCAGAGAGGTGCAGCTGCTCCCAGCTGGCAGCCAAGCTGATTTGCCCTAAAATGGCAAAGCCTGAGGCACAGGGCACACCCCTGGCAGTGTGCACTGTAACATTATTCCCTAAACACTATAGACATTGCCAGGGTGCTAAATTCATAATTACGTGCTGCATCACACACCCGGTTACACCAAACTGAAGACTGCATTAAATAGCACAACCTCCCAAAATCATGAGAAAACTTTATGAAACATTTTACCCTTAGGCTGCCAATATTTGATTTAAGTGACCAAACACTAGTGTTCTACAGCTGCACAGTTTGAGATCCAACACTTTAAAAGAGAGTCTGGGAGTATAATACGATTTAGCTGTGCTGTGACAATGTCTGCCCCTTTGTCTTGGGCTTAATTATTCATGTTATATTTCTAGTGTATTGGGGTGATTTTAAAAGAATTCATGAAGAAAAAGCATTTAGCATCATCTGAATCAACCTACTGTTTATGTTTGTGCTGTTTTAATATTAATACTGGATTTACTATACGGACACTAATGCTAGAGGACGGCAGAGAATTTCAGTAGTTATGGCTTTAGGCACTGGATAAATGTTTTGTAGTCATTGCCTTTATACTGAAACACTCCATATCCAATTAAAGATTTAGTAAGCTCTTCATCAAAATATCGTCTCACTTGAGACATGGGATATGGTTGTGCTGACATTTCAGCTTAATTCACCTATAGTTGCATGGGTCCCCCTCCCCAAGGCACAGAGGAGGAATAGCAGCAGCAATTTGAGGAATAATGCAGATTCTAGGAACAGCCTTCATATATTTATTAAATTTGTCCGAATACTTTGCCACCACAAATGAAGGTCTTACTCCAAGAGATGGTTTTAAAATGTTCATATAGCAAACTCAATAGGGTTTAGTGGCTATAGTTCACATGCTGTGAGTTATGGACATTTTAGAGTTTGTATAGAAAGATTTGGAGATCCTGATATTCGAAAGAAATGAAAGCATTTCTCTTCACATTGCGGTCTGAGATGCAGTCCATGAAGACTGAAATGACAAATCCTCTGTTTCACGCCCTGTTCCCCTGCCCAGTGTGTGCAGCAGATACCACTGACTGATGGCAGAGCTGTGTCCTGCTCTGCAGTGTGCTCTGCTTTGCTGCTGCAGTGCATCGGGTGGCTTTGAAGCCTGTAGCTTTTCGACTTGTCCCTATTGTCATCGAGAATGGTCAGCAAAAGAAGTTTTCATAGTTTCACTAGAGGAAAAATAAGGATGAATTGAAGAGGCAGCTGGTTTGATCACCTTGTGCCTTTTTAGCCACTCCATGTAGTGCAGATGATAGTTACTCGATTTGTCAACGCTTGTCTCCCTTTTTCTTTTCCTGTGAGTTCTGATTTTTTTCATTTCCTCTTGACTTCCTTTCCTCTTGCTCAGGAGATTAAACAAATAACTTAAAATTTATGTGCTATTCTCTTTCTTCTAAAGTTAGATGGAAGTCATTTGTATTAATGGAAATACATTGAATTTTTTATTATTTTTTCTACCACTCCAGGATGACTGCTCTTCCATGCGTCGTGAGTAACCTCCACATTACCAAACTTTGCAGGCATTTTTTGTGTTTTCTATTCAACATGTGATCCTGCTGACCACGCCCATCTTTTAAACCATTCTTTCTTGGGTTTTCCTCTCCTCCCATTCATTCCTTCATTGATTCTTTTTTCCTGCTCCCTCTGCATTGCAGGAATTTTCAAAGGAAAATGGGGACATTCT